GTTCTAGTCAACAAAGTAGTGACTGTTTAGCTGCTATACATTATAAATACGGAAGTGCAATGGATCTGTGACCTACTTAAACGGTCTTCTAAGCTACTAGAAGCAAGAGAACGGTGCTTAGAATACGGAGAATCCGGAGAATGGGCAAGAGATCGCTATACCAACGATTCGCAGGCGTATTGATACAGAAAAATAAAACCCGATCTTATGGGTTTATTAGCATACTGCTAGTTATCGATACCGCCGATCCTACGGATCGTCGCATAATTGCAGATGTTCTAACAGAATCTTGTTCGGCCCTGACTAGTGATGTGGTTTAACATCCGTGTACTATAGGTGCTCAAATACCATGGTGTCGTGGCCTCCTTAAATGGTCGGCTGGGCAACTAAAAGCAAAATTACGGTGCTTAGGCCACTTCAATCCGGTATCGAAAACTAAAGTAACCCGGTATCTCAGCAGCGATATCAATAACTAGAAGTATGCTAGTAAACCCATAAGATCGGGTTACATTTTTGTATATATATCTCACCTACGCTGGGTGAATTTTGGCAAACATCATTTTCGCGAATAGGGAGTTCAGATGAAGTACTTCAATGGACTGTCTGTCATCAACAACTTTTGGAAAATTGTACGAAATATGCACACATCAAACAAAATCATACTCAGATATACAGATCTGATACACATATATACATATCACAGTATAAAAACTGGAACACAAAAAATCATCTTGAAACCAATCATATTCTTGGTAGCCATGCTAGTCTATAAGCACTGTCTTGAACCGTTAAAAGCCTCGTTTCTACAACTTCCAACAGAGCCGACTTCCAAATTCAATGGTATCACCGTGTCATGTCCTCAATGGCAGTTGCCACAATCTCAGGCACTGTCGTAAAACTTTACAGAGAAAAGGAACTTATCTCTGGCGTTTGTACGATTAAAAAAAACATGTTTCTCAGCAGAACATTTACAGAATTTTCGCCATACAAAATAAACAAAAAAACGAACAAAGCTGGATAAACAGAATGATACCATTACATAAATATCCAATACAGTTTGTCGATGTGTGGCTTATCATGCAGGTCAAACAAATCGTTAAGCAAATTAGAACAGTTTGAACACATTAAGTCAAAATCAAGCAATTATGACCATAAGTGAGGGTAGGGTTGCATACACATTAAGGGGGACAATTTCGACGCCATGAGCAACTACGATCTTTAGATTTTTAGAAATCTTTAGATTTGGTCATCGCGGTACCTTGATCGATAGCAGATTCGACGAAGAATAAGTAGTAAGGAAGAAACGAGAAAAGAAAACCAATAAATTTTCACGATTGAGGGACAGTTGTGGCGACCTTTAATTCATGAAGCCTACAGTGCGCATTTGATCTGCAGGAATAATTTATTTTAACGGTAGAGTCAACAACAACCATATGATAGGTTTAAGGTGCAGTCTCCTATTTCCTTCCCATAGAGTGGTACTCATTTATCAATCTTGGAACGAAGAAGGGCAAATAACCCCACAGGGACTACAACCCCGGACATGCCGGGGTAAGTCTGATACTTGACCGATCAAGCAACTCCGACTAAGAACAATGATTTCGGTCAGTTAAAATGGCATCTGTGCAAACGAAGAGCTACAGAAGACTTTCATTTCACAAATAAAAAGTGAAAATTAGCATGGAACTTCAGCTCTTAAATTACAGGCGTTTTATACCTCAAATGTATCACTGAACTGGACTTTACACTATTAACGTTTCCAGCTCCTAACCTAAACAAGTCTCCCAATTAAGCATGTTTATCTGTCTGTGAATGACACCGAAACTACAAAACTACCTAAATCAATGTGCAGCATTAACGAAAAAGTTGCTTAGTCGATAGAAGGTCTGACTCAGAACCGAGGTCCCGGTATCGAGGCCCGGTTGGGTCATTCGCCTATCTTTCT